CCCCAAAACCCCAAAACCCCAAAACCCCAAAACCCCAAAACCCCTTATCTAAAATAAAAATTGAGAATTTAGTATTAAATATGAAAAAATCTAAAGCACCTGTTAAAAAATTTACAGCTCCATTAGGAATGATAAAGGGAATCAAGACTTTCAGAGAGTTTAATGATAGAACGCCTAAAGCATTTGAGAAGAACCCAGAATTTGTTCGAGTACAGTCTCAGCAACATGGTCACAGGAAAAGTTACACGAAACTTAACGAAGCTGGCAGTAAATTCATGTATAATTTTTAGAAAATAATTTTAACCTTCTTGGTACTGGCTTCAAGATTAACATCTTAGAAGAAGATGCTTCTGAAGGGAGTCATGATTCACAGAATGCTATAACACTGAAACAGACTAAGAGTCCTTATGACTGGATAAATAAGAGGTCCGGAGGTTCCTCAACAAAACTTAAAGTGAAAAGACGTTCACAGCCTATGATAGAGACTCAGAAGATAGAAACCTCTAAGAAGTTCCTAGTTGCTAAATAAAATAATAAAAGATGGTAGGAAAGTGAAGGGTCCACTTCCAGGATCTATTGATTTTGACATCCGACAAGGTGAGGATAATTTCTTAACTAAGAATAAAAATGAACTGGCCAGAGTTAAAAAGTCTAGTAACAAGACCAAAGTTGCACCTTTAAACGTTCTGACAGATAGAGATGGGTTATACATAAGGAGAAGTCTGATTGGGACTCCTGAAGAGTACCAAAGTGGGCTGAAATCACATATGACTTTGAATAAATACAGCTTTAAACGGGCAAAGATGGGCAAAATGGGAAATACTAAGTATGAAGATGCTCTCAATAGAGGTAGCACTCTTGGAGAAGAATTGAGCAACACTGAAGAAGATGAATGTAGAAGCCCAAATTCAAAGCTCAACCCTAAGACTTTTTCAAGTTTGAAGGATGCTTCTTCCAATAACATCACGTAAGAACTTTACTTTGCTAACTTCACTAGGACTGCCATTAAGAGATCATTCCTGAAAATCAAGAAAAGGCCATTTACAAAGCAAGATATGCTTAGCTCAATGAATCGGTTTAAGGCTTGTAGGCAGGCAGAAAAGGCCAGTTTGTTAGAAACCATCAACGATACAAGGGCCAAGAGGACTATTTATACCTCTCAGAGTCAGAATAACCTTCATGACCTTGGCTTAATGAGTGAAGAGAAAAGGCAGACTATTACTTTTGGTAACCTACTGGCTACAAGTAAAGAAGAAAGAAGATTGTTAAACCATGAGAAGGCGATTAAAATATGGAACAAAAGGACCCAGTTCTACTCCCGACAATGCAAACGAGATCCTAAGTCACTATCTCTCATGGAAAGAAGTGACCAATATGCTGTGAAAATACAAGAACTTGATCAGTGCTCTAAATATTCTAAACAATGTGAAGCCGCAGATGCTCATACTCAATGGATATGTAGCCTGAGGAGCACCACAGAAAAAGACCAGGATAGGCAAATTTTCCTACCCTTGAGTAAGATAAACCCAATCAGTAGTTGAGTTTCAGCTCGAGTTAAACCATTTAAGAAGGAAGTGCCTATTTTCTTAAAGATCATTGACAATAAAGCATCTAAACAAGATGCTCTGGTTAAGAAAAATGAGGTTGCCAAAGTCCATCGGTTGGACATCACTAAAAACAAGGGGTATATTAAAGACCTGAAGGAAAAGATATCACAGAAAACCTTAAAATACCAAAATATGCACGATAAAGATGGCGATCAAATCCAGAATGATTATGTAACTAAGACACAAGTTGAGAGTCTAGAGGCTTCTTCTCCAAAAGTTAAGAAGATAATAGACTTCGATCGGGTCGAGAACCTCTCAAACCTCTTCGTCAATGGGGACTGTAAGTTCTCTCTTGAGTATGAGTATGCCAAAAGGAGAGGTACTGATGGAGTTCAGATGGTACTTGACCATGTCATTGACCAATCTGGTGTCGGGGAGCCAGATGAATCTCAAGAGATCATAGAGGAAAATTAATAAAATATCTGTAAGAGTTGTTCATAACAATAAAAATTAAGAAGGATTCAATACAAAGGAATTTAGAAGGGGTTTTGGGGTTTTGGGGTTTTGGGGTTTTGGGG